ATAAATTTTTGTATACATTCTTATACATATTTGTACAAGAATGTGGATTTTAGATAACAAGTGAAATCGAATATTTATGTTCTCTTCAAACTTCAGAATCAAACTGAAATTTATTCAGCTTGTTGATAGATTTAATTCAAATAAGACAGAACAGTATTTAATAACACAGCATAAGTTAAGTTGCCTATGCATCCTGTTGTTAGCTATGTAAAATATAGCAACTCTGCCCGCCCCCCCAAATCTCTAATTGTTGATTTGACCCAGATTTGGTCATGCTTAAAGAACAGGTTACAGCAACCCATGAAATTTTAATTATGATTACATGCTCCTATAATTTCATTTACTTTAAGCATAATTTAAATGATAGGTAAACAAAATGACATGTAAAAATGTAGAAACCAGAGCTCCCTATTAGTATATTTCATTGATATATTTTTTAAAAATATTAAAGCTAAGAATCTCTCAAGCTTAAAATGCAATGTCCTATCTTAAGCAGCATTTGCGTGTACCATATGAATGCAAAGATGAACTTATTTTTAATGTTCGCCTGTCATTTTCTGAAAAATTATATTGCTTGTAAAACCAAAACTAATTCTAGCTACATACAGATGTGCAAAGCTGACAGCAGTTATCACCAATAGGACAAACCTAGTGCAAAGTGCTTAAGAAATAGAGAAAACCTACTAATAGATTAAAACATAGGCTTTTTCTCAAATTTTGCAACCACTCTATTTTTTTTAAGAAAACATATTTTCCTTTGTATTGGGTCAATGAAGCATCTTTAAATAATTTAAGGCATTTTTCCAGTTAACAGTAAAATAAGATTCTTTTAATATTAAGGTCAATTAATTAGAAGAGACCAATTTTAATGGGAGTGATCTACTGGCATAAGACGGTTGCTTTTAAGAGAATATGAGTGTGAAGGCAATAGATGATTCTATCTAAATCATGTTTTGTTAAAACAAATTCCTAACAATGAACAGAGCTGAAATCTTGAACCTGGCTAAAATAGTGAACGTAGGAAGAAAACACGTTGTTAAGAGAACTATCTTCCCTTATCTGATTTTTATTATGCACAGTTAAAGCATTATGAATTACATACTCTTACCATGGTTGATGCATTCATGTGCTGAATCAGTTTGGAATCTGGCATAATAACTTGAGGCTGAGGTGCTGGAATAAAACAAGCAATCACTGCTATGACCATCATAAAACATTTTATAAGGTGTATTGATAACAAATTATTATGCTTCCTCTTGAATTAAATATATTGTAAACTCTGATATAAAATATACAGTTGAGTAAAAGTAGTCTGTAACAAATACAGAAATCCTGTTATTAATTTATAACTGTTCTTGCAGTGGTGTGTAAAATATCTTCAATTTGAAGCACATTCTACTTCAAAGTTAAAATGGCTGTTTTGTGAATAAAATTACTTATTTATTTATAAAATTTATAGGCCGCCCATTTTACCATAAGGTAACTCTGGGCACAATTTCCTTAATTCAGTAAGGAAAACTCTATATTTGGCTGACCATATGCTTCTTTCTCAGCTCCATCATCTCCCTATCCTAGAATCCCACACTTTTCCCTGCACAAGGAAGTGCAAAGAAAATCTAATCAGAGATTTAAATGGAGTATTAGTTCTCTGAAGATTTATTCACTAATGTCCACATGCATATTGTGGGAATGGGGGGGGGGGGAATATCGTCCTTGACCTTAATTTTGTCTCATTTTATTTTAAAAACTATTAACTGCAAGTTGAATGAATGTAAAAAACCATCTCACTCAAGAAATTTGTGTGCCTGCTTAGGCCTTTGCCACTGGCAATTTTTGGCAACAATTTTTCATCTGGCTTTGTCTATATATAAAATATAATATAAAAAATGGACCCCGAAAAACAGTTGCTCATCCATGAGTTAGAATTTCATCTAAAGTTACTTATATTTAAGAAAAGGTTAAGAAGAAAACTATTTTAGTATCAACTTTCCTGCATACTACATGGACATATTTTGCTTCCAGGTGACACTTTATGAAATGATAATTCAAATGGGCAACAGCTGGGAAAAAACTGAAACTACAATGCCAAATAATATACTTTTTTATTTAAAACATTTAAATAGCCACCCATCTTATAACAAACTCTGGGTGGGTCCCAATTAAAAATTAAAATAACATAAAAACCATATTTAAAATCAAACTCATAAAAACAAAACTAGGCAGTAACATCAACTGAGTTTCATAGAAACCTTATGTGGTAGCGACTTGGGCCAGTCATTCTCTCCCAGATCAACCTATCTCACAGGATTGTTGTTAGGAAAATATTTAAAAAATTGTTTTTGGTGACCACACAAGGACCTACACTACAAACCTAGAGTGCCAGTAATCTCCCGATTACAAGATTGGAACATTGGCAAGAACCCTTTTAAGATTCAGAAAGGGCCTTACTTTGCTGTGTTGCCGGAATAAGGACTTGCTGGGTCTGGGACTGTTGCTGAACTGTTTGCTGTGGCTGCGTGTGGTGGTGATGATGGGAATGCTGTTGCTGCTGTTGTTGCTGCTGCTGCTGTTGCTGCAGTAAAAGTTGCTGTTCCTCTGAATGAAATCCATCAACAGCTTTGGATTGCAGCAATTTGTTTTCCCATAGCTGTATTTATTTAAAAAAAAACATTTACTGGTGAGTAAATAACAATGTAAATTATAAACAAACTTTAGGTTGTTTTTTTTTTACTGACATATATGATAGTTACACATTTTTAAAATGTAACATTGGAAACAAGTTATCAGTAGTCAGCTGACTCTTTGTAGCATCCCATCAATTTCTTCAAAAAAATGACTTCCTTGGCCAATGTTGGGTAGATTAGTGTAGTTGAAATTTATTATGGACCATCATCCAATCTATTTTTGTATCTCTTGCATGAAAAACAAGGGAATAAAAGCTTCTTCTGAATTCCTATCGATACCTATAGAGGAATACTTGAAGCATATTGGATAAAAGATAATTGGGTTTTTAATATTCTAAGAATGAATTTGAAACAGAATTATGGACTAACAAGGAACGTGTTATTGCTAAAATGTATATTTTTTTATTGACATATGAGACATTAGAGTTGAATATATAAAATGGTTAAAATTTTGGTTACAATATACAAATGGAACAAAAGGAAAATAGATGGGTGAAAGTATTAAAATTTCTATTATGTTCTAACTTTAAAGAGATTTTTTAATAAAATAATGATGCATTGTTATAGTTTATTTGTCACCAAAAAATTGTCTGGAATGCATAAAGGTGCTTTGAATCTTTGTTGGAAATATGAACATCATGAAGGGACATTGTATTATGTTTGGTGGATGTGTTAAAAACCAAAACTTTTGGGATACAAATACATACATTAATTCAGAACATTTAAAAAAATTAAAGCAATATTGAAATCACAAACTTTTCTTTTGGGATCAATGTAAGTAGAATAAAGTCATGGAACTGTTTTTTATACAACTGCAGCAGAATTATATGCTCAAAAAGTGAAGAGGTTTGACACATCCCACAACAGAGGAATGGCTAGGTGTTTGCAGAAATGGATTAATTAATGGAATTAATTAATTTCCTTGATCAGAGAAAATATAACATCTACATTTATGGCTGAATGGAAACCCCTTACAGACTTTTTGCATGAAACGGAAAATGTATTTATGGTTTGTGGCTTTGATTAGAAAAAAAGGGATAATAGAAAAAGTAATTTTTGTAATTGTTAAGTGTAAGATATAATTTTGTAATCATATTTGCTGCAGACAAAATCAGAAGCTCTTCTTTCTTTTTATTCTTTCGCACTGTACTTTTTTCCTTCTCTTGTAGTTTGTGTTAGTTTTTACATCTTTTTAGAAACGTTTAATAAAGTTTATTAAACATACTCAAAGCATATCGTACCTAGTTTCTTCACACACAATTTATTGATGGACTGATTCAAGGACTATTCTTCACAGGCCGAGCATTTACACCAACATATTTATAGTCCTCGCCTGCTAAAAGGTAAGAATTATTTCAGACACATGAAGTTATAACTTACTGTTTTAAGTTCCACAAGGACTTGCTCATCCACACTTGCATCAAGAAAGACTTCTCTGACATCATTAATGACATCTTCAATCACAGACCTATACAATTTAGGCTTTAAAAAGTGACAAATAACTGTTTGAAAATGTTTATATATTATTGCAATATTTCAAAACATTGACGGTCCTTTAAAAGTGAAAACAACCTAAGTAAATGAAAAACTACATGGAAACCCCAAGTTTTCTAGCAGACATGCCTAGCAGAATTTCACTTTTCCAGCATAAAAAGATGAAGACTATGTCAACTATGCATTAGAGCTTGCAAATCCTCCTTTTTGACCTTTAAATCAAATTATTTCACTGTAGGGCAATGTAGTCACACTGACAACAGTCGTACTAAATCTCAATTCTCAACCAGATAAAATTGAGATGGCATGATTTAAAACAATTCAATAATACCCATAGAAATTTTACTACATTCCAAAGGTAAAAAAATGTTTTAAGAGCAAGAAAAATAATTACATGAATATTACAAAATGTAGTGTATGCTGTTTTGATTTCCTATTGAAAACTAATTCAAAAAAATCCCACTGCACTCAGCTATAGTCACTCCATAGAACTTTTATAAACTTAACGGTAGAATAAAAACGATTTACAAAAAAATAACCTTATACAGAAAAACAAGAAATAGCAGCTATTTATCATGTGATGGTGCTTGAAAAGAGCCAGCGAAAGCTTCTGAGCAACAAAGACAGCCGCTTTTTTGGTCCGTGCCTATGTAGTGCAGGCACCTCCCAGCCTGCTTTCCACAGCTCTCTCCGTATTTAAAGGCTGATGTGGTGTTTAAATGGAGAGGCGGTGACGTGGGGCTGGAAAGCACCTTCCCATCCTGGCAGAGTCTATATTAGAGAGCGGCAATGGCTCTATATAAACAGGGCAGCCACAGGGAGGAGGAACACAAGGAACAGGGAGAGAAAAGCAAGGGGAAGCCATGATGGATCTGAGAGCACAAAATGAGAGAGCCTCCAAATCAGCATCAGGACTTCGGTTGGTCAGCAGGGGTTTATTTTTTGGCCGGTGGGGTGCTTATTTTCGAGTGCATTTGATTTGCATTGGGTTTTTTTTTTCCTTAGTGCCTTAGAAACAGTGATGAAAGGGGCCGGGAGGGTTTTTTTTTTTTCTCTTTTTTTCCGTGTGACTGCTTATTGTATACCGATGTGAAACCGAGACTCAGAAGCTGAGCCTGTCCTCTCTAAAAGAACTGAAGGGAGAAGCATAGAAAAGGAGGCGGGAAAGAAAAGAGAGGCTATTAATATAAAAGCGCTTCCTGAAGAAAACTCGGACAGATCAAAAGGGCCTTTTTCTCAGATATAGATAAGAATATAAAAATACATCTCCCTGAGTGAAGGGAAGGAAGAGACGTTCTCTGCCAGACTAGGAATTAAAAGGTGCTTTTCAACCATTCGTTACCGATGCCTTAATAGTCTGCGGAAAGAAGCGGTTTCGACCACGGCCGTTGCAGGTTAAATGCTTGGGGGGCGAAGCCTCACCTCCAGGCACGCTTCCCCCCACCCCTGCTGGCCTTTCCTCCAAGTCGGGGGAAAAAACCGCCACCTCACTCCCCAGCCTTCCCCCCATTCCCTCCCCCACACTCGCAGAGACGAAGCGGGCTCCCTCCAGACCCCGCGGCGCCTCTTCCGCGCCTCCCCCGAAGCGGCACCCAAGCGCTCGCTCGCCCCTCTCTTTTCCCCACAGGAGGGATGGACGGAAGCCCGCGAATCCGGGGCGGCTGTTGCTGCCGCTCCCGCCGCCGTCCCGCCCTTGCCCCGCCATCCCCAAACCGAACACCCCCCACCCACCCCTCCGCCGCCCTCCCGTTCAGAGCCCCTTGCGCAACCCTAGTCCTTACCACGGGGTTTGTGTTAGTCGAGCTCGCCATGTCCCGCACCACCCCTGGGTAGGACACACACACACACACACCCCGAGGCAGGGCGCCCCCGACACCCCCCTCCGGACAAGAGCAGGCTGAGGCGAGCTAGGGTCCCCCCTTTCCCCGCTGCTGCCGCCGCCGCTGTTGTCCGCCTCCTCCGCCCTGTCTCGCCTCAGGGGCGTCCTCCTCAGCCCGGCTAACCCGCCCGCGCGGAAGAAGCCACCCTCTCGCTCTTCTTCTTCTTCTCCTCTCTCCCTCTCTCTCCCTCTCTCTCCCCCCCTCCTTCCTCCGCCGCCCGGCCTCACACGGCGGCCCTTGGGCTGCAGCCGCCAGCCGTCTGCTCCGCTTGTTTCGCCCTTTATATAGCGAGTGCCGAGCAGCTGCGCGAGCGGCCAGAGAAAGGGGGAGGCCGCGGAGGGGAGAAGGAGGGAAGCGCCGCGAGAAGGAGCGAGAAATCGTCTTCCTCCGCCTCCTCCCGTCGAACTTCTTCCGCCTTCCTGGCGCCAGGACGCGCAGAGGTGGGGCTAAGTCGGCAGCCGCAGAGATTGCGCGACGGTCCTTGGGCGCGAGCGGGATCTTTTCGCGCTCGAAATGCGGCCACGCCGATCCCTAGAAGAGTCTCACCCGTCCAGCACAAGCAGAGATGTCCTCTCCCCTCCTCCCCCCCCCCACCCAATGTTATCCTTCATTTTCTAAGGGTGCTTCGGGGACTCCTGCCATAAAGGTGAAAAATAGACATCATAAGTCCGGTTTCCGGTTTCCGTGTTCGCTAGGCGGGAAAATGATACAAAATACGTGATCTCGTAGACTTAATAGCTTCTTGCTGTTCTTCCCTCGTGCGCAGACAGAAAGTATAAAGGTTTCATAAACTGCTGTGCTAAAATCAAATGAAGACAAAAGAATTTGATTGAGCAACGGCTTTTTATTCGTATCCATTTCATGTATTCATAATCATGTTTATACTTTTATCTGTTATATGCTTGACAAATAAATAAAATTAAAATAAAATAAAGGGCTAAACTCCCAGGATGCCGATGACAATCGCCTTCTGAGGAATTGCAATAAACTGAGCAAGAGTTACTGACTGCTTACCAGCCGTTTCAATCAAATGATTCTCCATCCTTTTCGATTACATATTACCATGAAGATGTAGGGGAAGGGGCTTTTGTTGGGAAGGAGCAAGTCGATTCTTGACCTGCATTCGGATATACATGAGTTCAGATTCTCTTTTTGCTTTCCTGTAGGTTTCTGATAGATGGAAATTCGATAAGTTTGGAAAGCAAGTTGGATATCTTCCTTGCTTTTTCGTGAACCTCTGGGTAGTTAAAACCATGTGCTTTCGGGACATTCTTTAAGGGTTAGGGTTGACAAAGCAGTATTATTTTACTGGTAAAACCAGTAGAACATGTACTGTCACAAATCCAGTATTTTTCCGGTACAGAGAAGTAGTGAAAGTCAAATTATATTTTTTACAATCCTAGGAACATAGTAATTTATGAATCAAAGTGTTATGTACAAAATGACTTATCAATAAAAATAGCTTTTTAGAATATTCCTTCCTAGAAAATTCCATTTTAGAATAGGCTAATACAACTTGGATCAAAATGAAAATTACTATTGTAGCAGATCTATTGAGAAGTGACTTGTATTACTTTTCTTGAAATTTTGTGAATGGAAGCAAGTGAAACTCATAGATACCTGTAACATTAGATACTGTATTGGCATGGAATGAGAAACCCAGATCTCTGCTTTGTCTTGCCAATAGTTCATAAACTTGGTAATGTATAACAATGATTCCCATAAATGCAGTGTTAATACAGCACTTTAAAATGCACTAGCATGCACTGTTTTCAGAGTGTCACATGTGCATTTTCTCTTGTGGTATTTCTATAATTTCTCATTTTTGCAAATATTGCTGTTTTCTAAGTTCATAGAATCCTAGTTGGCTGTAATATTCATCAGTTTTGTACATAGATATTCACAATTGCCCTGTGTCAGACAACCACAATTTAAACAGAAGGGACAATGTGTTTAATTAGTATGCTGAAAATGGATACAGATTCATTGGCTCAGTCTTTAAAAGCTATGTGCCATTTTAATGCAAAGTGCTAAGGCAGAACTGTAAATTTCATTTAGCTCCAAATTCTATTTTGCATTATACTCGTTTCATGAAATCACACAACAGTATATTATGTATGCATATAACCCTGCCTTTATATAAGAAATACAAAAGTCAAACAAAAAAGAGCAACAGGGAGAGTGGCTATTTAGGAGGGACTACAAACAAGTAGGTGAAGATTGAACATCATAATGTAGACACTGATTTTTGATAATTAAAGAAGTAAATAAAGAAACAAAAAGTCCAAATAAGAGCAGTCTTCTGTAACTTCCTATCAAATGTGGGTCTGAGAGTCAGACCTGACTTGCTTTATTAGATGCCATAGGAACAGTATCCCCTTTTAAAGTAAGAAAGTCCCTATGGGCTGGACTTTCCCAGCCCATAGGGAGCTGCATGCAGCCTTTTTTGCAGCAACCAAGATCAATTTAAAATGTTGAAGTGTTTTTTTTAATTTTGTCTACAATTTTTTGCCTTTGATTTTTTTTTTCTCTTGCTCACCAGGTATTATGTTAGGAACCCACTTTTAGACCATGGTCTTACCCACTGTCAGAGTGATCCCACTGCCTGTTTAACATGGCTCTCAGTCAGTAATACTGTGACTTTTAACTACTCTACTAAAAGATGGCCTATTCCCTTTGTTTCTAAAGGAAATCAACCTTGACTGTCCTTTGGAAGGCAGATGCTGAAGTTGAAGCTCAAATACTTTGGCCACAAATGAGAAGAGAGGACTCATTGGAAAAACCCCTGATGTTGGGAAAGATTGAAGGCAAAAGAGGAAAGGGACAGCAGAGCATGAGATAATTACATAGTTTCATCCATGCAATGGGCATGAGTTTGGGCAGACTCAGGAAGACAGTAGAAGACTGGGGGGCCCGGTATGCTATGGTTCATGGGGTCGCATGACTTAGTGACCGAATAACAACCATTCCCTTTGTAAAAGTTACTTTAATAAAACATAGTAAAATTACAAGTAGTCCTTCACTTACTACTGTTCATTTAACAACAGTTCAACTTTACAATGCCTTATGACTCATCCTCAGATTTACGACAATTTCACCATCCGCAGCGTCATTTGATTGCAATCTGGGTGCTTGGCAACTGGCTTGCATTTACAACAGTTGCAGTGACTTGCAGTCATGTGAACCCAATTTGTGACATTGCCAGCCAGCTTCTAGCAAGCAAAGCCAATTGAGGATGTCAGATTTACTTAAGGACCACTTGATTCACTTATTAACCCCTAATTTGCTTACTGACTGGTAATTAAGGTTGTATAAATGGTAGTAGAATTGGGCCTGATCATACGATGGCTCATTTAATGATTACATCATTAGTGACCAAAATTTTGGTCTCAGTTTTGGTAGTAAGTGAAGGAGTACCTATACTGATCTAATGTGTAGCCTTTTCTGGAGGCAATTCACAATATTAGATGCATCTTAAGTTGCAATGTTTGTTTGTTTGTTTGTTTATTAAACTTCTTAACCACCATCTCCCTCAGAGGGACTCTGGACAGTGGGCATGTATTGAAGTGGGCTGTTATATACAAAAACGTAAGTAATAATAAATTTATCTCTAAAATACCACAATTGTCTTTTGTTTTTCACAGTTAAAAAAAAATACCAGTGTGGTTACTTCTTCCTTTAATCAAATTAAATGTAAAATGATTATTATTTGACAGATTTTTGTATGAACCCTATTTTAAATGTCGTTTTAAAACATTTGTGTATTTAATTTACATGTAATTTAAAATAGGCCACAGAATCATGAGAAACAGCTAGCTAACGTATATTTAAAAACCTAATACAGAAGAAAAGGCTATGGGAAGGAAATGCAGAAAAAGATGTTCCCCTTTTTCTATTTTATTTTTTTACCCACGAGTATATCTGCATTTCTCTCTTCATTATCTCCTTTTTAATAACATCCATAAAATTATCTCATTGCCACAGCATTCCTGCAATTTTATATTCTCTCTTACTGAATGTCTATGGAGATTCTTTTTCTGAATGCTTCCGTTCTCCAACTGAACACTTTACAATCTAAAATGTATTAATCCAAATTGCACCAGCCACTATTTAGACTTCAAACTAATTCAAAAATTGAGACATGGAAGCACTTATGAAGCTGTGTTTTACAAGAGCTGCTAACACAGTTTTTCTTTTCTAAAGCTACCTGTTTCCACAATTTTTTCCATGCGTATTAATTTATGGTTACAGTTATTCAGTCAAAAAGACTTAAAATGGATTTCAAAAGTTTGAAATCACAGGCAGACACTCTAGGCACCTCAAAAGAGAAAAGGGGATGGAGAAGGAAAAAGCAGAGAACTGAGATTTGGATACCAATTAATAAAGCAATATACTTCCCATACTGACAACGTGGAATAGGAACAGTTCTGAAAAATCATTGGTTGACTAGCTCTGACCCCAAAGCAACAATTAATGAAGTTATTTACCAGAATTGCTTGACAGTGAGATGGCCAGCATATAAATGTAATAAATGAATTAATGAATAATCTTGCTTCTCATCCATCTCTTTTTGCTGCAGGCTGATAACACAGTTCATGATCTATAGTTAGTGTTACAAGTATAGTTACAAGTATAGCAACAGCAGCAGCCTTCCTGGCTAGAAATTCCTATCAAGATCAGTGCATATACCATGCACCCTACGTTTCTTGATTTAAAAAAAAAAAGTAAATAAGTTTTGAAGACAATATGATGCAAAACACCAACTTTTAGAGGCATATTTAATTGCGGTAATGACTGGTTCCCACAGTTAAATATGCCTCTAGAAGTTGGTGCTTTGCATCGTGTTGGCTTTTCAATTTATTTACTGCTTTTTGTTCTTTTGCAGAAAATGTTGATTCTTTTCTGTGGTGAGTCTCCATTGCATAGCTGTTTTAATGAGGAAAAATATTTTAGTATTTGGAAAAAGATACAGATTTCATTATGGAGGTTACATCATCCTCCATAAATCATAAAGCAATGATTTAGCCAGAATATGTTCAGATTAATTTTCACCAATAAATGGAATGGTGGTTTTAAGGATATCTGAAATGCATCTCCAAAGAGCTTTCTAAAGCACTTCCATCAATATTGCATATGTCATCATCTGTCAACATTGATTGTAGTATTCTGCAGTGTTGGTGTAGGCCTTTTTCAGATATGGTGAAGAGTTTTAGAATATCATACAACATCCTGTATAATAGTTGTGCCTTTGCTTTGTCCAGAGATTTCATTGCTCCAGATTAGTCTTTGGGGTCTCTTGCTTATAACATTTATTTAAACAATAGGCCATCCTTTGGTTTATGGTTGAGGATATTTTGTCGGAAAAAATAAAGGACAAACTTGAAAAAAGGACATATTTGAAAGAAGCTTGTAAGGATTAAGAAGTGTTTATAATTTTGCTTTACAAAGGAAAATTCAAGAGTAAAACTATATTCAAGAAAACTAAATTCAAGAAAACTTTCTTGAATATTCTAAAAAGGATAATTCAATCTCCATATTTCATATGAATGTGAAAGTCTATACATTAAGTGGTATCATTTGTATGGTAAAAGATAAATGACCAAAATAAAGGACAAAAATGATTTTTGGAAAAATGAATAAAACCAAAGTACTACTCTTATTTTTTATGATAAGGTCATTGTAATACTGTATAGCCATGCTACAATGTAAGCCCCTACAGACCTGTGAAATTATATTTGCAGCTGCCAAAAAAGCAAATTCAGTCCTAGGCTGCATTAATAGAGGGATAGAATCAATATCACCTGAAGTGTACTTAATACCACTCTATAATGGCTTGGTAAGACCACCCTTGGAATACTGCATCATTTTGGTCACCACGATGTAAAAAAGATGTTGAGACTCTAGAAAGAGTACAGAGAAGAGCAACAAAGACGATTAGTGGACAAGTGGAGGCTAAAACATAAAGAACGGTTGCTGAAATTGAGTATGTTTAGTTTGATGAAAAGAAGGAATATGATAGCAGTGTTCCAATATCTAAGGGATATTATCTAAGGGATACAGAAGAGGGAGTCAATCTAGCATCAGAAGGCAGAGCAAGAAGCAATGGATGGAAACTAATCAAGGAGAGAAGCAACCTAGAACTAAGGAGAAATTTCCTGGCAGAACAATTAATCAGTAGAACGATTTGCCTCCAGAAGTTGTGGATGCTCCAACCCTGAAAGTTTTTAAGAAGAGATTGGACAACTATTTGTCTGAAATGATACAGGGCTGTGATGGCGAACGTATGGCACGCGTGCCACAGGTGGCACGCAGAGGCCTCTCTGGCCACGTGCACCATCACCAGCTGCTCTTCCGGGTTCCATTGCACATTTACGTGCCGGCCAGCTGGTCCAGCACACATGCGCACCGGCCAGCTGCTCTTTTTTGGGTTCTGGCGTGCACGTGCATGTCGGCTAACTGGTCTAAATGTGATAAATATTTTTTTTTTTAAAAGGAATGATGCAATTGTTCACAATTGTTCCAGAAGACTGGACAAAAAAAGGTGACTTCAAATTACAACAAAATAGATTTCAGTTGATTATCAAGAAAAAAAGATGCTAAAGATGAGAACTGTTCATGGAACTGACAACCTTGGAAGATGGCACATGATCTTGTAGTGGATACCCATAGTGGTGATTTAATTCTTTTAAAAATAAATGAAAGAAATGTAGTGGATTCCTACAGAGGTTTGGACCAGTTCATGTCTAAAATATTTTCCAATCTTAACATTTTATGCTTCTATGAAACAAATGAAAACAAATGGGAAGAAAAAATGCCAAACTCTACAATACTGTATTAAACATTTTGTTATTATGAATTGAACAGTAATATTTTGAACTTGCAGTATATAAAGTATCTTACCTTGGACTTAATAAAGCTTAAATTAAAACCTGCGGATATTTTGTCATGTCAGCTTTTTATATTGTAAAACAATATGAAATCATAAAGAAATGCCAATTTTTATTTATACTTACCAGACTATATTTTCAAAATCTTGATCTAGAAATGTGAAAAAATTATAGTAATTATATTAATGATTATAATTATAGCAGTAGCATACAAAAATAGAATTAAAAAATAGAAGATGCAGAAAGTAGAGAAAAATAATAAAGAAAAAATGTATAACAAAACAAGTTTTCAACTTCAGCAGAAGAAATATAAATTATTTTCTTTCCATATTCTATCTTTTATCCATAAACAACTTCACAAAGTCTCTTCAGTTATGATCTCAACAAAAATTCATTAAGGATCATCAGAAATATAGATATGTAAAATCTCATTGGCCATATATTTCTCATAGAGTAGTACATCAAATAAACTGATTAAATCAAGCGTTAAAAAGTTATTCATAGACCTTATATTTCCTGCAGTCTTAACGGATGCCTAATACCACTGCCTTGGTTACATGGTTACATCACCATAAATTATGCCAATATTTTCTTGTCTGAACTGACCACCCACAGTGGCATTCTTTTTGTTAACTGCTTTTACTTGCTTTAGAACTGGTAATAGACCATGTGTGAGAAACTAGTACCATTGCAAATATTGTTGGATATCATCCAGGGGTGAAATCTAAATTTTTTTGCTACCGGTTCTGTGGACGTGACTTAATTAGTGGGCGGGGCTTGGTAAGCTGACTGGGTGGGCGTGGCCAAGTCAATGTCACTTCTTTGCCCTTTTTTAACCTACAAAACACAACACAACACAACTGGCTCACCCACAATGTAAAAGCAACTGTGCTAGACCCAAAATGGCCCCTGCAACAAGCAGGAACCTCACACAGGCACAAAAAGCCCCAAAAAACAACTTTCATACTTTACACACACACAACACAACACAACTGGCTCACCCACAATGTAAAAGCAGCTGTGCTAGACCCAAAATGGCCCCTGCAACAAGCAGGAACCTCACACATCCACAAAAAGCCCAAAAAACCAACTTTCACACATCACACAAACAAAATTCCACATACAGCTTTGTGAGATTTTGTGTGTTTGTGTAGTTAGAGTGAAACACTACAGAAACACCTAAATCTCAGAAAGCTGCACAAATATTATTTTATTTTAATTTATTTTAATTTTTAAATAAAAGCAGCTATATTTAAAACTTCCTAATCTTTAAATGGCTAGGTCTAAAAAAAGAACAACTAAAAAAACCTCCAATTAACCATTTTTTTTAAAGCTCCCAAGGGGAAAAAAACTTACCCAATAGAACAGGGGTCTCCAACCTTGGCAACTTTAAGATTTGTGGGCTTCAACTCTCAGAATTCCTCAGCCAGCTTTGTTGGGAGTTGAAGTCCACAAGTAAAGTTGCCAAGGTTGGAGACCCCTGCAATAGAAGGTACAAGGCAGGCAGGCAGGCAGATAGAGCTGCTCACCGATGAGCTTGATTGCAGGCAGGGAGATTCAGTTGCTTGCTGGTGCAATGGATTTCAGGTATTACAGCAAGCGAAGCAAGGCAGGCATTGCGACCAGCAGCTAAGTTAAGCAAGCTGGTGGCTGGGGGGGGGGGATTTTTGCTACCGGTTACCAGGCAACTTAGCTGGGATCGTCAGAGCCATTTAAAAGGCTCTGATGATTGCGCAGCTCAGCTGGGCATGGGGGGCGGGGGCAGGGATTTTTGCTACCGGTTCTCCGAACTGCCAGCCACCATCACTTCCTACTCTCCCTGGTCTGAACCGGGAGCATTTCACCCCTGATATCATCTCCACCTGGTCCCATCAGAATGGGCAATACTTGGACATGAAGAGAGCCAGAGTCCAATAGCTTCTTAGACTTGTTCCCCATCCTATCCCTGGTTAGGTTTTCCCTGTTTTTTTTTCCTCCTCAATTGCTTTAATAAATGATCATTGTAGGTCAACCAAAGCTTTTGTTGCTGTTTTATTAACTTTTGGGAGTTAATTAGGCAATAAAAACTAGCTGTGTTAGGTTGCATCCTAAAAGGAGAAAAAGATCAGAAGGAGAAAAAATAGAAACAGATTTGAAATTATCTGTGTTTTATACTGTACAAGTATGCTTTACAGCAATATGACAGAAAGGATTATTAAATAATTCAGATCAATATTTGCATGTTATTGATCATGGATATTGGTCTCATGAGACATTGATGACAGTAATGGTGTCTTATTCTTTTAATTTGCATAATGATTGGTGTGGAATGCATGTAAATAGCTGAAATTCATTTTGATCCAACTGATGAAAATTTATTTTATAACTAGATATGTTGTTCTTTTATTGATTTTAGTCTTCTTTAATTTTCTGACTCTTCAGATTGTTATCTCGCAGTGTGAGAAATTAAGTATCAATATTTTTTGTTCGTAATGTAATGTCTATTTTTAAAACAATCTGTATGCATCTTCTTATATTATAAACACATTCACATTGTGTACTTTTATTGCAGTTTAACTTGTGTTGCTAGATTTTTTTTTACCCAGTATTTGAATAACACTAGCAACATCAAACCACAAGATGGCAATAGTTTCTCAAAAGGAGGAAATTAAATAAGCGTGAAGTTGTATCTTAATGTTTCTTCATTTTGGAATTAAACCAAAACAACTCACAAAAGTGTCAAACGTTGTAAAATTCTGATGTTGCTGGGCTAACAATAAAATCTACTTAAAAAAGAGAAATGCTATGTGTTTCCAGTAAGAATTTGTATGTACATAGGAGTTTCCGTTTTCTTTTTTTGACTCCACTCTTGTGCCAAATTGTTAACTAACGTATAAAGAACTGGACATTATAGAAAATAAAATCTATAATTGTGCATTTTGTTTTACTTATGTTTATTTTAGCAACAAATGCATCTCCAAATTCACCTGCATTAGTTTTTTTCGTATTATTGATGCCTACATGAAAGGAAATGTACAGCATAAGGAAAGCAAATATATAATGAATTTCAATTTTGTTCTTGTGTTATATTGATCAGGTATTGCATATATTTGAACAGAGCTGCTCTCCCCACCTTATATAGTAAAATGCTGTCCTTTCACATACTGTATAATTATAATTTAATAATTAGCAGAGGATGTCCCATTTATAAACAATAATTGCTAATTTTATTTTTAAGCTGCCATACTCCACTCTCTTATATAGATGGATGCAGAGCAAAATTAGCTGATAATAAACAAGCTGGCAGCAGCTCTCCCAGCCTGGCATAGGGAATCTCTTGCAATGGACAGGCAAATACTGCCCAGGGAAGTTTTTTAGCCAGCCTGCAAGTTTCTTATGGGAAATTTGCTTTGCTTTGGCATGGGCAAAAGGACAGGTGGACCAGTAACAAATGTGGCTTGTGGATAACTTATATTTGGCATTGTTGGATTGCATCATTTTTTCCTGGCTAGTTGGCATTCTGACCAGAAGGACATAGGAGCAAATTGAGGAAGATTCCCAATCAAAGTTGAAGACTTTTTAAAGTTCCCATGTTTTTCTTCCATGAGATATTGAACGTATTCTGGATCAGAGGTATAGGCAATCTTAACACTTTGCTAATAGTTTAGTCCAGGGGTGAAATGTAAAATCTGTTACTACCAGTTCTGTGGGTGTGGCTTGGTGGTGGGGGGTAATGTGACTGGGTGGGTGTGGCCAACTTTTTTTTAAAAAAGCCTCTCTGTGGATCAGGAAACTCAGTTGGGATTGTCAGAGAGGCTCCTTAAAAAATGCCTCTCTGCTGATCAGGGAACTCAGCTGGGATCATCTGAGACTTTTCAAAGCACTTTTTTTACCACCTCTTGGGCCAAGAGGTTGCAGAAAAAAATGCTTTGAAAAGCCTCTGATGATCCCAGCTGAGCTGCGCGAGCATCGGAGGCTTTTTTTTTTACTTTTAAAAGCATTTTTTCATTGAAGAGGTTGTAGAAAAAATGCTTTTAAAAATAATTTTAAAAAGCCTCTGATGATCATGCGGCTCAGCTGGGCATGGGGCGGGGAGGCGCAGGGATTTTTGCTACCGGTTCTCCGAACCACCCACCGCCATCGCTACTGGATCGAGTGATCCGGTCCGAACTGGGAGCATTTCACCCCTGGTTTAGTCCATAATACTTAAGTGGTGAGAACTATAATCTAAAAATATTGATTGCCTAATGAATGGTAAAGGGGCCAAAAGTTTTGGTCCCATAGTGTTCTTCCTTTAGGACCTATGCAAGGCAAGTGAATAGCATCAATGAAGACTGATAGTAATTCCCTCATTTTTCCCTATTAACAAGTACTCAGTATACTGAAAAATGATCAGATCAAGTTATTTTGTGATTAAGTGACTATTTTAACTACATCAGATTATAAAGGTGGATATCAAAAATTATGACATTAAGAAAATGAAATCAGTGCCTTCATTCTGTTTTACACAGATTGCTAGATAATTTCCATAGGGATTCCTTACGGTAATGCTTTGCAAAGTAGTCCTGGGCGTGGTTAGCATTTGAACCATCAGGAAATCCAAGAGTCAAAGACTAGACTGGAAAATTAAAAGAACATCCAGAACAAGGCAAAAATAAGCCACTTATGTATGTTGCAAAATTTACATCCATGTAGTCACCTTTTAAATACATCTTGAAATTGAACCATTCATGTTTTAAGAAGTCATTATATTATGGCATTATCTTTTCCTTTTCAACTATATAAAAAATGAACAACAATAAAAATGAAGACACGACTGCTTTGAATGTCAAATTCATTTGCATTTATTCAACAGTCCTTCCCAAACTCCAAAACGACATTTCTCTGACAGGGTGGAGAAGTGCCACAATATTTTTTTTAAAAGAATTAGCCAGTGTATAGACTTTTTCAAAGTACATTAAAAGGTAGAAACCTATTACAAAATATGTAAAAAAACAACAATCACATTAGTGCAAGAGGTTATGACTTATCTGTATGGAGGCACTGAACAACAACATAATTGCAATACAAGCCCTTTTATCTATCCTCACAAGTCTTTAAGGGCTTTGGGGTTGCTTTATGTTAGGTAACATTTTCACAATAAATTAATGGGATTCCCATTAGAAATCTGCCAATACCATAGAAAGATGTTTCCCATATATAGGACTTAAATCAGATGGTAAATTACAATCTACAGTTGACTGGAACAATGGACTGCGTACCAGCAAGTCAATTAAAAGTGAATCTATATAAGGCAGATGTTATTAATCCACAGTGATGGTTAATTTGTAGGGACCCAAATAGCAGCCAGGAATCAGCTTCTCCTCAATTCTACAATCCCCTCTCTCTTGTTAAGTCTTGTTAAGTACAGGATGTGGCTGTTATTTGCTAATCATCACATATTCTCTTATACCTTAACTGTTGTTAGTGCATTCTTCATAATGATATATTCTGAAAGGGACTGACTGCTCAGACCACATTAAACTTGATCACCAAGGGAAGAATAACTTCTGAGTACCCTTAAAAATATGTTAATATTTACATTTTAAACTCCCCAATGGGCCACGTACTACATTACATAGAAATAATTTTCCCCATGTCCATTTCCCTACCCCAAATCATTTTCTCTGAGATTAGGTAAAATCTAATTAGGCTTCCTGAATATTCTGCCACACCCATATATCAGTGTGTGAAATAAGTATTTTTAAAGACTTCCACTTAACCTCATGCTTTAGTATTCACTGAAAAAGGCATTCATCAATTTTTGAGGCAGATTTTAAATGAAGTTGAAGGGCTGGTTCAGACAAGCTTGCATAATATTTAAATACTTTATAAATATTGTGATTTGCAACTAAATGTGCAAACCAACCACAGTAAACAATATTCAGCTCAATGCAGCTAGGAGACATAGGCAGATGTGCTTCTTGATGTGCTAGATGATATGAAGTCAGTAATGGACATCAATGGGCCTTTTGTCCTACACAGTTTACCCAAATGAGAAAATGCTATATCATTACAAAGGGACGTTATCGGTATTGCGAGAATTATTTCTCACACAGTCAGTGAAAAGTAAGATATAGCAAAGAAGGGCAGATGAAAACAAGCCAGGCAACTCAAAAGTGAAGACCAAATAGTCTGGAACATAAACCAAGAACAAAAGTTAAAATACACTACAGAAAAATTAGTTCTTGAATCAAAGCAGTCGTGAAAAGTTGACTATGGCTTTGCACTCTTTCCAGTGGGTACATAGTGGCAGTTCCATTCTTTACCCTGTTATAGAAGATTCACTGTATGCTACAGATGTATGTTGTAGAGTCATCTATAATATATGGTGTAAAGATTGTAACAGTTACTATGGAGGACAGACAAACAGAAAACTAACAGAGCACATCCATGAACACCAATTAACAGTCAGAAGACATGAAAACTCCTTAATCTCACAACACAACACATGGGCTGACTCAACCACAGTTTCAACTGGGAAACTCTGAGCATCTTAGACAAACTAAATCCAAAAGTGCTAGGGAATTCCTGGACATTTGGCAATCAGACAAACCAGCCATCAATAGACACATAGAGATAAATCACATTTATATACCGTTCAAATGAGACAATAAAAAAGATAAGAAGAAATAAAAAAGATAAGAATATATTCTCTCCAGCAGCCAACAGCCAAATAAACAAGGAATAACACCAGGCAAACAATCAAGCAGAAAACAATACCCTGCTTAAAGAACTACCAACAGAAAAATCACCAAAGCTGACAGGGCAAGCTACTGTATATAAACAGTATACAAACAGCAAAGCCCACACTTACTGTATTTGCATTGATGTTATTATTTAGTTGGGTAATGAAACAACTGTAAGCAAGCAACTAAGCTCAGAGAGCAGCAAGGATTCTAGAATTCACCCCTGACTTCCACATATTCTCTTCTGAAATTGTTGGCCTATGAGTAAGCACCAATTACAGCTTCCCCTCCTTATACAAGCGATTGGACAGTAATTTCATCATCAAGCCCATTTTCCAGAATAATATGGTCTATAAGACAAAATATGTGAAATTTGCATCTAATCTGGCCCTAGTAATTTATTTAAAACTGGGATTTATTAGAGCACTAGAATATTTTAGACAGGATTCTGTGTGTAGGCTTTCATGGCACTATCTATTGGGCAGTGTTGTGCTTCAGGGTTGAGTAACTGGTCTAGACATCAGATTTCCTGATGTCTTGCCGGCAACTGTGGCGGGCATTTTCAGAAGTAAAGATGCCCACCAGAATTTTCTGTACTCATACAAACATATCAATACCCATGCAAAAATACTCTAAATTCTTGCTTGACAGAAAGTATGATTATAGATATGTACAGCTCCCCAACTTGGTGCTCTTCCCAATATATTGGACTACAACTCCTATAGCAATTGGTAACTTTTACTTCAGGGGGGATTAAAAAGGATATGGAGAATACTGAAGCTCCAATGTGTACTCATAGAAAATTCTTCAAAGATATGTCCAGACATGTTTAGGAATATTCCCAGAAATTGGAAAATTAGAAACTTGATTCTTTAAAAAACAACTATAAACAGAGATTTTTTTTCAAGAAGTCAAGTTTTCATCTCTATGAAAAAGACTGTGTGGACACAAGAATTCATAAAAACCTCTGTAATGCCACTATGTCTACCTTGTATAAAGTAATACCATTAATTGTTTAGTAAGATAGTAATTATTTCTTTGAAGTATCTCGGAAATAAAATGTAGTGTTAAAACAGAATTTGAAAGTAGCATTATCAGCATTTATAAAAGTTGACCAATTTTTTTACCAACATCATCAAAACTTAAAAGTTCAGCATATTAATGTATGCAGTATGGTAATGATTTGGGGAACACATAGTAACCAGCCTAGCTAAACATCTAACTGAGATTAAATCTACTTTCCCCTCAGTATCTTCCCAGGTAAGAGTGATCCAAAAGTCACCTAGTCCCTTTTAACTGGTAACTATAACTAAATCATGTCTAAAGAATAACTCTGGTATTTCAGTAAATTGCATAAAAGGTTTCTGATTTGCCAAGGGAAGTATACAATATTTAAATATTCTTCCTCAAAGATGGCATACAGGAAAACTGAGATCATGTGTCTTTCATCTGGAGTTCCCAATGGCTCTCTCTACCTACCAATAGCTGATAGGAAAGGTTGTTTAGAATTTCTCACAGAGAGCCATAGGCATGAAAGAAACATGGAAAGGTTGATATCATGGTGTCTCTTCAACACCTCCCATCCCCAGGGCTGTTGCAGATCACCTGGAAAAACTCCACTGAAGACTGAATTACCAGTTATCAGTATGTAAGTGTATGGTTGGAAAATACTTAACAAGACTAGAATTTTGACAACTGTAGCTGACAAAATACAGTTATTTTGCTCTAAAAAGTATACTGGAACAGATGAAAACAGGCTTGAGTGCACTGCAAGCCTATATACTTAGTGTAATTCTACCCAAACTACTCAGCAAACATATCCCAAAAGAATTTTTTAAGTATGTTCAGAGAGCAAAATGTCACTTCAAATACTTCTTGGTTCTTCGGACTACAGAAGGGAGGCATGGCATTCCTTGTTCTTCAATTCTTGTTGCTTCTATTCTTTTCAGATAGCTACTTCTTCCTTTCATTGCACAGCACATTCCTTGACATTATCGCCGTCTTCTCCCAAATTATCTGGATTCAAGCTTTTTTTCCTCTCTATTCCCACCTGAAAGAAAAACAAACTGGGAGTTTTGTGGAGAACAGCAAAAGGCCACCTAATTTTTGTTTTGTATGTTTCACTCAAGAATTACTTGTCCCAAAGCAAGAATGGGCAGTACTCCTCTGATTCACAGATGACAGGTATGCAGAACTGACTCCAGCAAAAGTAGGTTCCCATGCTGCCTACATGGGAAATACTGAAGTGGTGTCATGGTGATTCATTGCAGGATGGGAAAGTTCACCAAACTTAATGGATATATAAATTTGAGAGGGAAGGATTCCCTGAACCCTATATAAAGCAAATGGGGGAACAAAGAAAAAAAATCCCATGTATGTGTAATGTGCCTTTTCTCTCTCTCCATTAGATTTATGAACATAAAAATTATACTGAGTAAGGCATGCTTAAGGGACGTGGTGGCTCAGTGGCTAAGACGCTGAGCTTGTCGATTGAAAGGTTGGCAGTTCAGCGGTTCGAATCCCAAGTGCCGCGTAACGGGGTGAGATCCCATTACTTGTCCCATCTTCTGCCAACCTAGCAGTTCGAAAGCACATAAAAAATACAAGTAGAAAAATAGGGACCACCTTTGGTGGGAAGATAACAGCGTTCTGTGTGCCTTTGGCATTTAGTCATGCCAGCCACATGACTACGGAGATGTCTTTGGACAGCACTGGCTCTTCAGCTTTGAAACGGAGATGAGCACTGCCCCCTAGAGTCGGGAACAACTAGCACATATGTGCAAGGAGAACCCTTACCTTTACGGCATGCTTATAAGGAGACCCAGCTATTTGGACAACTTGTGCAAAGTTTGATAACTACTATTTTCTTTAGGATAAATTCTGGGATATGGTGAGGAATGGAACCATACTTTTGAGTTGGACCTCAGAAGGCCAGGAATAAACATTGATTCTTGTGAAACAGTACTGTATATAATTCAGATAAAAAGCGAAAGTGCCATAGATATTCAAAGAATGTGCTGTGTTTCAAGTGATGAATAGGCATTATGATTCCAAACAATAGGTACAGATTGATTTTGGAAGAAATGAAATATCTGAGCATCCTACTTTGTTCCTATAAAAATAAAGAAAGAAGGACATAAAGCAGACAGGGTTTCAGCCAATGAGCCAATGCTTTGCCTACCAGAAAGAGTGTCTTCCATTAGAGGAGGTAAATTGGGTCAGGAGCAGTGATGGGTTGCCCCCGGTTCGGACCAGTTCGCAAGAACCGGTAGTAAAACAGGCGGGAGGCTCCGCCCACTGCCCCGGATGTCGTTATAGGCGATCTGCGCATGTGCAGAAACTCGGCGCATGCAATCCCATTGCAAACTGGTAGTAAAGGTAAGTAGAACCCATTCCTGGTCAGGAGACACAGCTGAAAGGATTTCAATGTTAATGTGAAAATATAGAAAGAACAAGGCTAAAGTTATAGGCCAAAAGTGGTAGGAATGTTGGCTGGAAAGGTGCTGGGTGGCTCATAAAAAGCTTCATTAGCAGACTAGAAAGAGTAGCACTGTCTGAGGAAAGGGGGGGAAATGGGATGACTCCTTTTAATGAAAAGAGAGCTAAAGTTAGCCGTTTCAAATATAAAAGAAAGGCCAACGTGTATTTATTTTACCTATTAATACAGTACGTTAAATTTATAAGGACAGCCAACTCACAGCAGAGTACAGATTGGAAACAAAATCCAATATATTAACTCAACAAAGAAATAAAAGATGAACATAGCCAGGAGGAACAGACTTAGCACAATACTGGATATAACCTTTTCAAACTGACTCATACTCAACTAAGCTAGAGGCTGGGGAAACAGCCAAATCTTCAAGGCTCATTTAAAGCATAGCAAATTGGCTAAAGGCAAGATGAAACTCTTCCAAATATCATATCTCTGTGGAAATAGGGCCAAGCTATAATGGTGAAAGAAGGTGGAGGGTAAGAGCTTTTTGAACTCCAAGAGGAAGTTTATACCATTGGGCAGATGGGAAAACAGAGAAGGCATGCTTCTAGGTAGCTCTTATAACTTGTTGATTTAGGGAAGATGCAGCCTGAGGATCTTCCTAACAGTATCTTCTTTCCAGCATTCAAAGAATGCTTCTGTTCTTTTTGTTTTCAACTTTCGTTGTCGTTTTTGTTTCTGTTGTTTTAATCAGAAACTATTACATTATCTCTCCCTTTGGAAAACCAATTGGACAGGCTTGATTAATGCTGAAAATTTAGTTTTTCTTTTTGAAGACTAACAACAGCTGATGCACAGTTAATTACAGTAACTAATTACAGGGTGTTTTTACTGTTGTCCTTTTTATGTATTTTCTTGTGTAACATTTTTATTTCTTCTTGTTTGCTTGTTTTTTTTGAATTTTCAAGTATATATACTGCATTTTTGTTATGCATTAGATTATTGCAGAATGATCAATATTATTGGATAGTACTATCATGGATAGTATGTCCTTGGGGAAACTTCCAATGCCTTCCAAACTGCAAAAACCTTGAAGGTTTCTTTGATGTCACAAGAAACCAAGTGCCTAGGATACAGAGGTCCTGGAGACAGGTTCCCCCACTATACAAAGGATACACAAGGGGAATGTCTCCAAAGAGATTTTTGCTCTTTACCACCATGAAGGGAATGAGTTCTTTAATGTTCAAATGAATAAAGCCAATTTGGTGAAGCAAACCACTAAGTTGTAACTTAATACAATTCAGTAGTTGTGGAAAAACTAGACTCATGTTACAGAGAAAAACTTGTGTACAAACACCTGAAGCATATAGAGTCATGCCAGTAGGATAGTAGCTTCTTTGGTGATATCTACTGTTGGTCCTTGATTTGGAGACCTCTTATAACTGATCCAGAGAACAAAGTGCAGAAGAACTTGAGCTATATGGTGAAGAAATGTGAATGGGAATGTGTAATTAACCATAAACAATGGAATGAAATTACACTTTGGAGTCGAAAGATATGACATAACATACATAACATAGGGCCATAGAGAGACCAAATAATGAAACTCTAAATTAGTAAATGAGTCAAATTATTAAAAACTAAAGAAGGGGCAATTCAAAGTGACAATAAAGTTATTCTAAGTCTAAGTCTAAATAGCAAGGTCTACGTAGAGACATGAAGGTACACGTTCTTCAAATCTATAAATGTGAGCCATTCTACCATTTTACAAATGGGAACGATATAAATGTTACAATAGATGTAATATCCCAAAACCAAGAGACCTTTAAAAAACATTTGAAATAGAGATGGCAAAGTGACCTGCCTCTCATCAATAGCAATAGCAATAGGATTTAGGCTTATGTACTGCTTCATAGTGCTTTACAGCTCTCTCTAAGTGGTTTACAAAGTCATCATATTGCCCCCAATAATCTGGGTCCTCATTTTACCGACCTTGGAAGAATAGAAGGCTGAATCAATTCAGAATTGAACTCTTGGAATGAGCAGGGAGTTAGCCCTCAGTACTGCATTCTAGCCACTGTGCCACCATGGCTCTTAAGCCATGAGTTAGTTTCTTCCACAGGAATACATGATCTGAAGTACCATGTTTTCCCGAAAATAAGACCCTGTCTTATATTTATTTTGAACCCTGAAATAAGTGCTTGGCCTTATTGCCATGCGCTCAAAAGTGTGATTGGGCTTATTATCAGGGGGTGTCTTATTTTGGGGGAAAGAGGGTACACAGAAAAGCACTTTCTGGGAATAGGGAAGTACAGCTGTACAGTAAATAGGGACAATTGAGAAATAGCTGGAGGAGAGACAATGCTCAGAGATGAGCCTGGTGTTCATTGGAACTTCATAAATGGCAAATTGGACAAAAAAAAAGAGAGAAAAAGACTCAAAGTGACAAAGCCAACAGCAATTAAGTAATTCAAGACCTAAAAGGCTTTCCTAGAAGAAAGCAGATGAAATGGTGAGTTGAAGAAGGGAAATTTAAGTTGAAAATATGAGTGCATTTAGGCAAGACTGGCGCTGAGAAGTTCTCAAACTGAATGCCTAGGAATTCCAGGCAAAATTGACTTTAAAAAGAAGGGGGAGGCAGTCTTGTCATTTTCCTTAACCCTTTGTTATGAAAGAGAAAGGAAGAGCTGGAAAACAGCTGAGCAAAATATAGGAAGGCTGGGAGAAGACCAGCAAGATTCCTGTGTTCACCCACAGGGGCGTTCCCACAGTGGTGATTAGGAGAAGGGTGAGGGCTCAGGAAAAGAATGGCTCATTGCTTAGGCAAAAAAAAAAAAGAAGAAGAAAAGAAAGAAATCGGTAAGTACAGTGAAAGTTTCAAGGTTAAAAACTGAAGTTTAACTAAAGGAAAGTAAATTAGAAAGAAGGAGAAAGTGTTTTGAGAAAAAAAATAACTCTAGGAAACTTTGAAAAACAATTATAAGAATATTAAAGAATATATTTTAAAAAATAAGGAAAAAAGTAAGAACGTTTGATAAATCAGAAGGATGATCAAATCAAGCATGAACATGCTAAACACTGTGGCAAGTCCAAAACAAATCCAAACAAGCAAGTAGGAAGATTAATGGATTAAGCAGGAGCCATGACTAGTTGGTTTGGAGAATAGGGCCTTTCCCAAATAATGCTATATGCTATACATGTCTCCAAATGTGGCTCTGGATAGAGTGTTATAACTCATGGAAGTGAATAATTCTGTTCTGACAAATAGGATGGACAATAGGGTCCCTAAGGTCCCTTCCCGTTCTATGATAATTTAAAAGTCCATACTGAAAAGCTAAGTAATGTACAGACCTTTGTCCCATTGTAATTAAATGTGATTTTTCTGTGGCTCAGGAAAAGAGATAGCTTCTGATTTTTATTATATGAGATCATTTTATTTGAGATGTCAGGTTCTGAGCCTGGGGCCTTTTCATGCAACATATATTCTGCCAAAAAGCTGGAGATTAATTTAATCCATTAAATTACTGCAGGCAACATACATCAGATAGCATAGAAGATCTGACTATTCATACATTAGTGCTTCTGTAGAAGGCATGCTATCAAAAGTTATCTGAATGCAAAAATAAACAAACCCAGAAGCTCCTGTAAACCACACCAACTTTGAAAGAAAAACAGAAGAGTGGATGTGGGTTTGGGTGAATGAGTAGTTATCAGTTATTCAACCATACCTTATAATTGTAATGTGCTGCATAATTCACCCACTTCCTCACATCAGTCTTGCCTTCCACAGAGATGGACCGAATGGCAGCCTTGGATGCTGAACTTGCTGGCATATCAAAGTCTACATCCACATAGCGGACAAAATGAGAAGGCACTTCCCGGTCTGAGCCAAGTTCCAGATGGCAAAAGAAGCAATGAGGATGACCTGCAGCTAAAAAGAAATGAAAGAATATGGCAACTGAGAACACCGACATGGAATCTTAGAAGAAAAAGGATGACAAATACCAAAAGAAAGTCACTGAATTATTCAAATGATTATGTTAGAATTCTGAGGTCAGCTTTTTTGACATAAATATGGAGAGAGACAACTTATTTTTTTAAAATCAAACTTGAGAAGGCATTAAATAAAGCTTCGCTAGAATATTACTAGTACCATATATTCTAATTCTAGAACCTGTCTAAACAACTACGGCTCCTATAATCCCTACAATTCATCATCACTGGCAAAATTAGTTAACTGAAGGGAGTTGGAAAGCCACACTGCCCACACATTTTAGAATATTGCTGCACAACTCTCACAAGCTTCTGGCTTATTCCTTGCAAATACATCACAATGAATCCTGGAAAAAATGCTTGAAAAACTGTCAGCTAATGCTAGCTAAAGGCTGGTTGTCTCTTCTTTCATGCAGAATTATCACTTGGCATATACAATAGTAGATAAGGCTGATGCATGCTATTAACAGTTCTACATGTTAATTTAGAAAAGAATAATCCAATGCGTACAAACGTGGTCTTTTAAAATGCTCAATCCCAAGGCAGTAAGGAAAGCCCAGCTTCTTTTAAAATATAGGGATTGAGGCATGATTACACAGAGAAATAGGCACAACTCATTGTTCTTTGCTGAAGACCATGAGTGATAATTATTTTGAACCATGTACTTTCTTCATGTGAAAAATTCAGGAACAAATACATCATCTAATTTTTTCTAGGGCTGCAAGGCAAATATTTGGTATGCACTTGTATAAGGTGCAAACAAAAATTATGACTTATTGCATGTAATTGTTCATAAGAAGATATTGAGCTATTTTTTTAATGAAAAGCTTACATCAAAAAGAGGAAATAAATTTACTTAACTTTTTCCCACTTTTTTCCCCCACTTTTTTTTTTAACTAAATGTGTTTGTCAGTTGCTCTTCTTGCTGTGAAGCCGTAGATGCATATCTAATTTTCTCCCATTCAGAATACTTTACTCATGTAATTTTATAAACATATAATTAGGCTTAAAGAATATCAATTCTAAAGCAAAATTGTGATACATTGGCTTAAACAACAATGAACACAGTAGTATGGACAATGGTTGGGCAACCTTTTGTGTCAAATACCTGAATCTCAGTGTGCAGACTAGTAACTTTCTGCTTAAATATGTGAATTCTCTATTATCTTGCGCAACCATGATCTGAGCCCCAATCTCCCTGTCTGTGATATAGGAATAATACCATGTTATTTCTCTGTGAAGTGTTTTTAGATTTGCCTTGATTGCTGTTACACACTATAGAGACAGAAATGATAGATGCCATACAACAAGATCATTTTTGAGTATTCTCATGGATATAAAGCATGATTTATAAATATATTATTTTGCCTTTCATGTAAAACAGGGGTCCCCAACTGTTGGGCTGTGGCCCGCTACTGGGCTGTGACCTATTCAGAATTGGGCTGCGTGAGTGGTTGGTTGGAGCGTGCACACCTGCACAGCTCAACTTGCATTGTGCATGTGTGTAATTGTGCTTATGTAGATGTTTGCTTAAAATATGGAAGGGCAGTAGTGTGGTCCTTTTGTAATATCAAAAGTTCTGTGTCAGCAATCAGTTCAGATTCCTGACATGAACTGTCAATCTGTTCAGCGGCAGCTTTCTGGCTAGAAAGAGACTTATGAGAGTGTCAAAAGGGAAGAGAGAGTAAAGGACAAAGGGGCTGATAGAACGAGAACATGACAAATCCTAGTTGTTTTTGACTTTTGACCTGCTCACAACTTGCTTCAGCCAACAGATGAGTGATATGCAGTATCAGATTATTCTGAATGCCATTCAACAACAATAAGATTGCTAATTTCGGCTTTAGAAGCAGAATCAGGATATTTTTTTGTTAGTTTAAAAGACATTACCACATTATCACCATCCTCAGAGGAGGAGTGAAGAATGTTTGAGAAGCAGAGATCATCCAGTCTTCTAGAGGACACTAGCAATATGGAATCAAAATTGCTCACTCTGTTTGGGATGTTATTTGGGGGAAGTTACCTAAGAGTGTCTTTTTCTGTCTTTCTCTGCGACTAGGATTGAAAACTGCATCAAAAACCATGGTTTGTTTATCTACAATAGGCTATGATTGTCTTGAACCTCAAAACACACTGCATCATAAATCATAGTTACAAGCCATTCTGGCTAAGTTCAAGCAATACACAAAGCCTCAAACTAAAGATAGTGAAAGTCAGTGTGACACAAAAACAAAGCCTGTTTGCTGGTTGAGTGCATGCGCATGTGTATAATCTATACGACCTTTTTGGCACCGAATGCCCAAACTGGAATGTGCATGCATGCAAGTGTGTGTAATGGAGCCCCGGAAACTGGAAGACCAGCTGGCCAATGCGCATGCACTCACCGGCCACCTGGTCTTCTGGTTTCTGGTGTGTGCATGTGTGCTGGCCAGCTGGTCTTCACGTGTGCCAGAGCGCCAGAAACTTGAAGAGGCCACCTGGTCTTCTGGTTTCTGGTGCATGCATGCCTGCCGGCCAGCTGGTCTTCAGGTTTTTGGGGCTCCAGCACATGCAAAGATCACCTGGCCATCACACATGCACACACTGGAAACCAGAAAAGCAATTGGTGATGGCGCATGTGCCCACGGAGAGGGCTCTGCGTGCCACCTCTGGCATGGGTGCCATAGGTTAGCCATCACGGCTATACAATATTTTGCAGGGGATTTATTTTAAAATTTCAGCAATTTTCATACAGTACACATTGAGAAAGGGATGTTTGAGTAAATGTTGATTTTCTACAGCGCACAGCCCCAAAGCTGTACTTTAAGTCTATTCTTATTAAATATGGGCTGCCCTGTTTTCAGGCTAGGCAGAAAAACATGCCATGAATCAATATTTTCTCAACATTCTTTATTCTGCCTGATGCTGTCTAACTAAAAACATCCTTTTGTACTGAAACAATGAATCATACGCAGTTGGGACAGAGATTTCTCACAGCCTATAAACAAGGCCCATTATTTATCAGCCAGCATCAACAAGTTGTTTATGGAGAAGCATACATCAGAAGTTGTCAAGCTACTGTTGGAACATTGCAAAAAGCAATGCTTTTCAGGGGAATTCAGCTGATCTGTTTTGATCTTACAACTTCAAACTGGCCCAACGTAACTTTTTTTAAAGAAAAGTTCAGTTATGACATCATAACAGCTGTTTCTCAAACACAACAAAAGACAGCTGCGCACTTGCCTTGTATCCAGAATGGATGTTATTTCCATGCATCAGAAAATCAGTTTACCAAGGCCCAAGTGAGAAGTAAGATTTAGTTATGCCAAGGTCATATGAACATCCATTGATTACAATGGCCCAATCATTTATATGCAACAGTTCTACAGTATTCATGCAAAGGATTAATATGTGACTATTTCATTGGTTCATTGCTTTTATTTGTTTAGAATCATATGGGAATCCAGACTGTAAATTGGTGGAGTTATCCAGCCACTGGACAGAGATAATTAATATTATAAATATGTAAGCAAGTAATTAAGAAAATACTTTTAGTGTTCTTTTTTTTTTTTTTTTTGTTAAGACTTTTGATTATATAAAAGAATAGGTTTATTGGCCTTCAAAAAATTTCTGGAATCAGGAGAGATCTCCATGTAAAATAGAGGAGCTCAAATTCTATGATCAACCCTTTTCAGTTTCTGAGATCTTAACTAGATGCATTTCTAAAACTTTCAGTTCCATGAAATACTTTTTATCATTTCTAAAACTAGTACTGTTTTGACAAACTTCCTCAAAATATATCAATTCGGCAACATGATTTTGTTTTCCCTTTTTATATCACTCCTCTATTACTTGATACCTCTGCTGCTATTCATTTGATTATCCCTGATTTTATTTCATGTGTGTTTCTTGTCTGACACAAACAGGAATGCTTTCCAATATGAGAAAAATAATTCTGTTAATGGTTTTTAATCTGTTAATTAGAGCTGTGATTCAGTGTCAACAATGGGCTAGAATTACTGTGCTGTAGTGATATTTTAATGTCTTTATATATTAAACTTCTCATGTCCCCTACAAGGTGACTCTGGGTGGCTTATAAATTTATAATATAATTTATTTAATAAATTTCCTGTTCACTGTCCAATTTTACAGAAGATGGTCAGGGGCCTTCAGTTGAAAAACATACTAAACCCTCAATTGCCTGGGACAAGCAGTCTCATCTTTTCGTATGTTACAGCAACAAAGCTGATGGAACAGAAAAGAACTTATTCAGCTCTCAATACAGCCTTGCTTGTAACATGCCAAGAGATCAGACATGTCCGGACAAGATGGTGCTGTACTGTAGTCAGGCAGTTATCAGCATTCTCTAAAATTCCTGTAATGAAGCAAAATTGCTAAGGAAAGATGTGGTAGAATTGTTCCCAACATTAGAGAAGAGTTAAAATTAATAAAAAAAATTCTGTCAGTAATAAAAATTCTAGGAGTTCAGTTCCTCAGTTCCAGCTGAGAACAGAGTATATTAGATAGAATTTTAGGTGGAAAATAATTGATTTCCTAAAGATTCAGAACAAAAGAACAGCTCTGAAATCTCACACATGCTGAGAGCTACTTTATATGTGAGAAAGGCCGGCTGGTGCCTTTCACTGAATTCAGTACTTCAGAAAGTACTGATTTTTCTGGCAGATTATCAATTACATCTTCAGAAAGCTCAATGTGTTATAGCTTCTTCTTTTTGTACCTCTAATAAATCTTGTGAGATTTGCCACAAGAAATAGAATTCTGAAGGAGGCCTGCTTAGTGGTTGAAACCGAATAAGGGAAAAGCTTTATATTAGACTTTTCCTTGATTTTACAACAAAATAAAAATAGTTAGCAAGCTGAAAAATATTGCATTAGTACATTACCAGATCCCTCATTATCTTTCTCCTGATATTATCCTTGTGGAATTTGAAAACTATTTGGCTGTTGGGCAAGGAGTCTATTACATGATAGATGCTTGACAATGTAGCCACTTTAAGAGTTGCAGTGAGGGGCTACATACACTCCTATCCACCCCAAAGCATATTCTTTGAAAGAAAGCTGAGGTACTACACAGATGATAAAATTATTGTTGTTGTTATTGTTACTGCTACATAGTCATACTTTCAGAAAATGAAACAACTTCATTTCACACAAGAATTGATTAGAATTTCTGAACAAGATACTGAGAAACTATACTAATGTGTCTTTCTTACAAGCTAATCTAATTCATGCAGCAGTACCCACCAGAATTTTTATCAGGTAGGCGATTTATCCTCCACACAATGGAATTGAAAGCATGCTCGTATTTGGCAGTTCCTAGTGTTACCCTCATTGCTGGCTCAGAGCCAGACACGCTGGTGGATCCAAAGCTAGCAGTTTTGTTCACCTTTGCTTTCAAGGACTTCTCCCCAAGGACACTGTCTCTCCGGAAGTTTTTCACCCACTTATGCGGCACAGGATAACGAATCATCACATTTTCACAGGGGACTTGACTTAGAGGATCTCTGTTGGATGAGAACCCTGGTGACATCATCAGCCAGCTCTGAAGCTCTACCTCAGCACCATTGACACTAGCCGTAACCCTTAGAGTAAAAGGCATGGTCTTCTCAGAAAAGACACTCCTAAAGCGCATCAGTTCGAACCGGCAAGCATCCAAAGGGTTAAACATAATGACACGGGCACTGGCAAATGCCTCTTCATCCACACATGAATGGAAATGGCAATCATTCAATTGAATCCACTTGGTAGTGGTTGTGGGCATGATGTCCTGCCGCAAAACAATTTCATTCCCTTTAATAAGAATGTCGTTGAGGCCCAGCCTACACTCTGCCAGTCCAGAAAGAAAGCTGAGCACGTGTACTCGTGTCAATACATTATACTGCAAGATCCTGTTGTCTCCTTTGGCCAAAATTCCATAGAATTCATCCTTTACGTCAACAGTGATTTCTTCCTCTTGGTAATTAAGTCCAACTGTACTTAAATCTGTTGAGGAAGCAGGCAAATCCATCAATGAATCCTGAACAGCCCTGATAAAACTAAGGAAATCATTATAATTGGTGGTGCCTAGCTTAATAACCTGTTCCTTTTCTGCTATGTGAGAAACAGCTGGCTTTGGCTGGTATTTCTTTTTTTCTTTGTAAGTAACACGGTCTATTCTCACACTGTGTATCCTTCCATTTTCATCATAATTTTGAAGCTTGGGCTCTGAAACCTCATGATTTATTTCAAGCTTGAATTCCTTAAAAGGCTTTTCCAATCCCTTTTCATAGAAGAGTTGTAAATATCTTCTGTCTTTCAGTTTGACATATATTGGACCCCAGTGCCTAGAAGACATTATATTCTTCTTTTCTGGTATCCTCAGCATCATTGGCCAGCCATCTTTTTGCTGAGGTGGCCCCAAAGTGGACATGGTATTATAGAGCTCAGTGGAGATTGTAGGGTCATCATCTGGCAGACTGAGGCTGTTCAGTTGATCTGGATCACCAATATGGAGCTGCTTGAGTTGCTCAATAGCATCTCTATGTCTGAGGTGTGTACTTGGCTCATTGAAGCTAATGGAATCAGGTTCCTGATGAAGGATAAGAAGAGAATCTCTCTGCTTTTTACTAGTGTTTCCAGAGAGAGAGTTGCCTTGGGTACGTCTATCCCTTTCCTCAAAGAAAGAACTGAATGGATTGATAGGAGAAGGTTGAACATCCTTTAGTGATACATCAAGGAAAGGATTAGTAGCACTCCAGGGCGGTGTTCCCCCAACTGATGGCAAGGTGATGGAAGAAAGGTCGAGCTTCTGAACTTTAGAAAAATCACTCAAGGTGCTCTTGGGGCGTTCCCTTTTTTTAAAGGATAAAGGGGTACTAGTGTTCACATCTATGACCTGTGTGGTTGCTGTTGTTGCTCCTTCTGATAACGATGAAGAATCTTGTTTCACAGGAGATGTAGTTATTGGAGAAGTGGAACTAACTTCATTGTCATCAAAGGTCACCCAGCTGGGGAAACGGGCTGTGGTTGCACTTTCACCGTGGCCATTAATGGATGTGTTGTTCAGCTGCCAGCTGGTGGCCTCCATTCCTAGCTCCTCATCTTCAAGAAGAGATGAAGAATTGTCTGACAGAAGGAAAAAAGAATATAATTACTGCACAATGACTGAGATATTTTTATTATACACATATTGATTACATAATAATGAAGGAATGAAGATATTCCAGTAGGCTCATAAGGTTTTCTTGGGAGGAACAAGTTATATTAATGGTCCCTTTTATCTCATTTTATAGAAGCCATTAATAAAATCTTAACAGAAATAAAACTACCCTTCTGAAAATCAGCTTTCTTATATTGTTTAAATATCTTTAAGTATACTAGTAGAATCTATAAATATCTATTAAATAACTAGCAGATATTATATTTCTTTTACAGAAAAGAAGAGCAGAGCGTTTTAAGGATGACCATTGTATAAGGCCTTTTCTCCTTGTGAGATTGTCCTAGCTCTTACATATGTTTAAAATAGATCAGATATTTTATTAAAGATAAAATTTCATGTTGTCACTTCTGTACGAGTGCATATTTATTGCAATGTCAAAAACCACTTTTAGGATGTAAATATACATGGCTAGTGGAAAAACAGACTCCTGTCTCTTATAAAGACATTGTAAGAGCTAGCAAATCTAAGCCAAATAACATTCTGAAAACAAAAGACTCTATACACCACTGATAAAGTGAGTTCAAGTCACAAAAACTTAATGCCTTTTAATAAGTCAGAAAAGATGCTACTAGAATCCTGTTACAGAGAAGTGGTGTATTTTTTTTCCCCACTATGACAGCCTAAAGTGCAAAATTTTCTGCTTGCGGTGAAAAACATCCTCTTTCATGTTACTATTCTTTTGCATTTACATTTAGCTTTTCTCTTAAGAACTCAAGGCTACCTCCAGGAACAGAAGCATTGATTGCTGAGGAACAATAGCAGAAAACTATTCTGTTCTACTTGTAGGTTTCCTATAGAAGAGGAATATGGGAAACAGGATGATGTATTAAATAGATCTGCCTTGCTGCAGGTAAGATTCTTTTTACATTCCTAGACAAATTCTACTCCATCTGCTTCTGTTAAAGAGACAGATGCATATATTTTGATATGAAAAGGTATACCAAAATAACAATCCCTATAGACGTAATAGTTACATTAGGGGTGTCAAACTCACATTGTCACACCGGCGTCATGTGAGTTTTTCCCCCCTTCGCTAAACTGAGCATGGATGTGGCCAGCACATGACACATCCGGCCCGTGGGCCTGGAGTTTGACAGCCCTGAGTTAGATCTTATCACCACAGAATATACTGAATAGGACTAGAGTGAAGTTTATTCATCGACTACAACAAATCGTAGAGCATAAAGTAGTAAAGCATTTTGTTGTTCGTATGTAAATATTTGACTGAAATCAAGAAACCATGTGAAAGACTGAACAGGTATGAGCATTTGCCTTCAGTATATCCTCAAACCTCAAAACTAAGAACTGATCCTACAAAACCAGTGGAATGGCTTGCCTTCAGAAATTATGGATGTTTCATCACTGGAGGCTTTTAAGAAGAGACTGGACAGCTATCTGTCTGAAATGGTATAGCGTCTCTTACTTGAGCAGGGGGCTGGAGTAGAAGACCTCCAAAGTCCCTTCCAACTCTGTTATTCTATGTTCTAAATTAGATTAAATACACAGGTTGTACTCTTTCAAAAATAACATTCAAAGTACCATGAAGGCGAACAATTTTTATCCTTATCTCAGTAATTCATGAAAGTTTTTAACACTGGATTCCCCAGAGTAAATGACAGTAAGTTCTTCTTTACTGTAAAAACCTCAGTTTAAGAACTGAATTATTGATCAACAGTATAGCTATAATATTGAATATCATTCTCTGGAAGGTAGTCAGAAAATAATTCTGAATAAAATAAACAGCAAATAAACAAAGAATAACTACCTAGTAGCGGCATGAGAATTTTGAACCATGTGGTCAATCCTCATTAGAACTTCAGAACCATGACTTTTGTTAAATAAAAATGATTTAATAGAGTGACCAGAAGATGGTGCCATAAAACTAAACTGTATTACAAAAAATATTGGTTTCAGATTAAAATAGATTAATATTAATATTAATTGTTAATATTACTTAACCTATCTTTAATATTAAAATTCAGTATATTTACTACATGACCTTTTTTTTTTCCAGAGAAAAGAGCATTGTATGGTCAAATATTATTGCCACGTATAACAACCAGCCCACTACAAAGCCATGTTATATATGTTATCAAAATATGGCAGTATGTAAATATTATTAGATATTTTATCAGAAAAGGGGGAATTGAAAATGAAACAAGAATTAGAAGAACAAGGGATTGATATGGTTTGGTATACACAATTGCAAATACAATCGAGATATGAAAAAGATGCTAAGTTATATAATTTTTACTTGGAGATGACAGAATTGGATGAGATACTCACAGGAACAGATGAGAATGATTAAAAAATTGTATAGCTACTTACTTTGTATTAAATTAGAAGAACAAGTAAAAGAAACAATGATAGCATAGGCGAAAAATTGGGTATACAATAGAGCTAGATAAATGGCAGCAACTATGTGAAACCCTATATAACATATTTTATAAATGGCATATGTCACTGGAAAGACTGGCAAAAATGTTTAAAGATAAATCAACTAATGTTGGAAATGCCACCAGACACCGGGATCGTATTATCATATGTGGTGAACATGTGCAAAAGCGAGAAACTACTGGGCAAAAATTCGAATATGGTTAGAGAAAATGACTCAGCAACATATTGATTTAAAACCGGAACTATCTTTGTTGGGTATTTTACCAGAGAAATTTAGTAAAGAAAATGTATAATTGATTATTCATGTAATAACTGCAGCGAGAATTGTATTTGCACAAAATTGGAAAGCAGAAAAAAATCCCTACAAAGGGAGAGATAATTAAGAAAATATTAGAATATACAGAAATGAACAGATTAGCATTGGCAAGTAAAGGGAAGGAACAATTGGAGTATTATAACATATGGAGGCAATTTTACCTTTAGATAGAAAATGAATATGGACAAAAAGTGGTATAATATTAAATAAATTTGGAAGGAAAATGTTTTAATAGGAGATACAATAAATTGAAATGTAAAAGCATATATATATATATATATATATATATATATATATATATATATATATATATATATAAAATGGTGGTAAGCATTAAATATGACACAAAAATTTGTACCCAGATGACACACTGATTAACGATGTAGTATTTGTTTTTAAAAAAATAAAAATCTTTTTATAAAAAAAAATATGGCAGTATGTATCTGTATAGGTATGTCTCTATTTCTATGTCTATCTCTTTAAAGACCTCTATATGATAATTCCCTAGAGGTGTTGCATAAGAATGTGCATAAGCATATAAAAGAATGTTAAGTAGAGTTTTTATATAATGGCTCTGACTTCAAGTTTTTTGCAAGTAGAAGTTTTTCAGACCTGCACAAGGCTTCAATTTTTCCTATTGTCCCATCATTTTGTGTGAACATTAAAAGGGGCTCTTGGATTTCTAGAAATCTGTGCATTTCAGTTACACGTGTACCAATTTCCTTGTATGTTATGATTGGGAAACCTCAACCAGTCTGTTTTTGCTTTAAAGTGTTATCAGCTATTTAAATCCAGATAAAAGAAATAGCCACTCGTTTAGTAACTACCTCATTTAGTGACCATTCACATGTATGACAGTAATAAACAGTAGTTTAAAAACAACAATTTTCTGACCAATGTGCACATTCCCCACCAAATTTCTTGCATCTGACAACAAAAGCCTTCAGTGTGAAACTGATTAAAGTCTGGTAAGTTTCAGGCAGCTGTGCAGCCAGCAGGAGGCTTCTAGTCAAGCAATTAAGGTCACAGAGTTGAGTTTGCTCTGTCCAGAAAAGCAGTTCAGGAAGAGATCACTTCTTTAAGCAATCTCTGCCCTGCAAAGGGATAAAAGAAAAAGGGAGGGGGAAAAAGAGCAAGGCACATTATCTGAATGAGAGAACTGCAACCAATGATATTTGCAATGTCTTTCTCAATCACATGATCACCTCATGACCATTTTGCTTAGTGACCAAAGTATTGGAATGGAATGTAGTCACTAAATGAGAGTATATAAACATCTGACTACAGCTTATCCATAAGACTAAGTAGATCAGGAGTGTCAAATTGGCGGCCTGGGGGCTGGATGCGTCACACCCACACGCCCACTCCAGCTCCGCGAATGGGAAAAACATCACAAGACATCACATGACGCAGCAAGTTTGACACCGGTGAAGCAGTGGTTTTACTACCGGTTCTGTGGGCATGGCTTAGTGGGCGTGGCAGGGGTAGGATACTATAAAATTTCCATTCCCTCCACACTCAGGGGAAGGTTACTGCAAAATCCCCATTTCCTCCCAATCAGCTGGGACTCGGGAGGCAGACAATAGATGGAGGGAGGGCCAGTCAGAGGTGGTATTTACCGGTTCTCCGAACTACTCAAAATTTCTGCTACCAGTTCTCCAGAACTGGTCAGAACCTGCTGAATACCACCTATGCCATGAAGTAGGTAGTTTGGATAATTTTTTATCTTCTTTTGCTATTTTCATTAACCTGCTCTATCAGAAACAAAATTAATTTTCAGCTTCCTGAAATTCTCAACTGCACTCAAAGAACTGAAGCTAGCAGCTAATAATGTACCCAAACCAGGCAATGATGGGCCTCATCACAATTTCTTTTTGAATTAAGAGTTCTCACTGGTTTAGAATACACTCAGGTTTCACCACTATTTGCTGTGGGAAAGGAGCAATCTTGCTCAAGCTATGTTTCAGGTATTTCTTCTCACTGAGGTACCTCTGACCGATTATCAAAGAAATCAGGATTTGAAAAACACATGTAGGTTGTATTAGAAGGTACGTTTTGGTTGACATACAATGCTACATAATATTCAGTAGCATTCTCAATATTTCTGAAACTGCAATTTTTCAAGTGCTTGTGAACTGATAACTCATTTTACACCGATCAAAAGATTCTTCATGGAGAAAACCTATCTATGTG